CCATTTGCCGGCATTTTACATAAGAATCGTCTTTGATTCCCCTGCAGCTACGTGAGGAAGGTGATGTTGTTCTCACTCCACAGATGTGAAAACTGAGACCCCCGAGGGGTTAAAGAGCTAGAACCCGCAACGCTGGCATCAACACCCATGTTAGAACCTTTTCAGTTCTATCTGTCAGAAACCCAACTCCAATCGGCTTGGCAAGAAGATGGTGTGTTATTCCCACAACTGAGAGACGGAGGTGGACTCAGACCCAGCTGGATCTGGAGACTGGGGGGTGGGGGGGGGCGATCCTCAGGATTTAGTCCTGGCTGTTTCTGCTCTCTCTGTCCTCCACCCGCCCTTAACTTGGAGGACCAAGATGGCAGCCACCACTCCAAGTTGACATCTTATATTCTTTTTTTAAAAATTATTTGTGTGTGTGTGTGTGTGTGTGTGTAGTTGTCATGGACAGCATGCCTTTATTTGATTTGTTTATTTTTATGGGGTGCTGAGGGTTGAACCCAGTGCCTCACTCACGCTAGGCAAGCGCTCTGCCACTGAGCCCCAGCCCCAGCCCAACATCTCATACTCTTGGCTAAACCTTCAGGGCGAGTTCTTCTCTTATTAATGGTTCCACGAGGATTCAGACCTGAATCGCGTTGGCCTGGCTTAGATGCTACGTGCTATGAACGGACAGCATGGGTCTCCCACCACCTGCCACATTCATACGCCAAGACTTGGAGGAGTGATGAGGTCACAGGGGTGGGGCCCTGGTGAATGGGATCAGCGCCCTTGTCAAAGAGGCCCTCGGGAGCTCCCTGCCCCTTCCCACCACGTGAGGACACAGTGAAAGGACGGCTCTCCGCAAAGCAGAGAGCGGGCCCTCACAGACACGGCTGTCAGTGCCTGGATCTTGGACATCTTTAGCTTCTAGAAGTGTGAAGAATAAATTTCTCTTGTTGACGGTGTTCCATTATAAATGTCGCACAAATGGGCTCAGCCACTAGCTCAGCCCTGTGCGAACCTGGAGCAAGTGTGGTTTGTCTAGGCAGAGTCTCACCTTCCTCCCTCCAGGGTCAGGGAGCCACAGCACACCTGGGCCAAAGGACCTGAGTGGGGGGGGGTGGCTCCAAAGTAAAATCAGGGGCTGTTTTTAGGAGAGAGGGGAAGGAGGGTGGGAAGGCTGACACGCCATGTTCAGCCCAGCATCCTCAGCTGTTTGGCCCCCAGCCCCCCTGAAGGGGACCAGCCAGGCCACCGGAACCAGGAAGCAAGAAAGGGCACCCCTAACAGAGCATCCCTTCTCTGTCTGCACCCCATTAGCTTTATGAGCTATTAGATATGGGAAATGGAAATCAGCCCTGTTACTCCGGCTCTGAGAAGGCCTCGTAACTCATGGTCCACGTATGTGCATTTGTGCCAGAAAGTGCCACTCAGAAACTGGAAGGAGGAAATGCACACCCCGCCATGTGCACTCTGTGTCTACCCCAGACACGTTCCTCTTCCCAGCCAGCCGGTTAGGCAGCAGGTGACAGTCAGATCTCACACAGCCCTGAGGTCGCCTGTCCTAATCTCTCCTCTGCACAGATTCTTGGCCACCCTTCTTTCCACCCAGGTGGCCACAGGTGAAGTCCTTGGGTTCAGAAACCTGGTCACCTAGGTGAGTGTCCCCTCTCCGTGTCACATCCCAACACTTGACCTCTGGCAAGTTAACTTCCCTATGTTCCCGTCTACCTTCTCTGCCATAAATGAACACAGGTGCAGCACTTAGCACAGCATCTGAACCCACGCGATATAAAATGAGTGTGATCTCTGATTATGATTCCCTCATCCGGGCACCATGAAGAGGAAGTGAGTTCCTATCCACGAAGCCCCTAGAACAGCGATTCACACAGAGCAGAGACCGTGTGGTTACCAATTAGAAGCCAGAAGCACGTGTGGACCTTTATCTGGTGGCCAGTCTTACGCACTCAGCTGCCCGTCCAATTCATTTGAGGAGTGAACAAAACATGGCGGCATCCAGCTCCTCAGTCACCCAGTGGGTCTCCTTGGAATCACCTGGGGAGCTTCAGTAGCCATGGGGACCTGAGCCCCATCCCCAGAGGCTCCAGCAGAAAGGCCAGAGTGTTCTGGAGAGGGGTTAGAAGGCTGCACAGTTCTCCAGGTGATTCCAGAGGGTGGCCAGAGCTGAGAACCAGGCCTCAAGGGAATATAGTTGGCAGAGAGGGCATTACAGGTCACACAATAGGGACCTAACGGGTCAGAGATGAAGCACCCAGGGACCCTGAGGCTAACAATGAGGGGCAGTCATCTCTGAGAGCCCCAGACACGGTCACCTCTGGGAATTCCCAGTGTGTGTTGAGCCAAGGACCAGCAATGGCGACCACAGACCCCAGTTGAAAGCTCAGCCCCTCCAGAGAAAGTAGAGCCCTGTCCAAATGAACTCTGCCAACGTGGGTCCCCTGGGCTTACAGGAAGGTGACGTGGCTTCAGTCGGCTGACCTGTGTAAGTCTGGGAATCTGGAAACCCTGGGCTCGACTGGGGTCATTAGGCCTGATTTCTTATGGGGAACAGCTTTTTCTGTTCATGCCTTGGTCTGTACCTGTAAAACACGGAGGCCTTACCGTGCAGCAGACCTGTGCTGAGTCAATTCAATAAACAAGGTCCCTGCCTTCGTGGACTATGGAGTCCAGAGAGGTCGGAGGTGCGTGAACAGGAAGGCCGGCATGGGTGCGGGGCCTGTGGGGTGCGGGCCCGCCAGGCGAGACCACCAGGTGGCGAGCAGAAGGTGTGCTTAGGAGTTCTAAACACCGACTCGTTCGCCTTGTCTCTGCCGCCGCCGTGTGTTCAGATATCCTGGGGAGTCCTTCAAAATCATGGCAGTGTAGTCCCACCTGGGGACCTTCTCGTGACTTGGTCTGAGGCTGGGGCTGGACGTGGGAATTTAGGCTTTCTCTTCCAGGCAGGCCTTGCCTCCCGCCTACAGCTCGACTCCTCAGGAAAGAAGCCGAGTGATTGGCGGGCGCGGGTGGCACACACAGAGGGACAGGTCTTCGTCACCGGGGATGCCAGGGCACAGGCTGACCCGAGAATTCCTCTCACCTCTCGGATGGCTTCCTGGTACGTGTTGAGGGGAGGGGAAAGGACACTTGGGGACTGGGGCAGGAGGAAGGGCTTCTATTTTTGTGGATTTCCTCATCTTAAACCAATGTTCCCAGAAGAACTTTCTAGAACTCTTCCATGCAAACGGAAAAGAAAGATTAGAATCAGACAGAGCCCTCCCACCCGGAGCCCAGCCGGGCTGGACTTGCTGACCTCGGGATTCTCTACCCAGTGTCCTGTCTCCCCTATCAACTACCCAAGGACCCCCAAAGTGCCCAGGCGCTTAGGGACAGGAGCTGGTCTTGGGAGCAGGAGGAATAAATGGAGGAGCTCAGCTCTCAGGGGAAGTGGGCTGGGGGCGGAAGGTGGCGTCTGCCAGATGTGTTTGTCTCTAAAGCACCTCTCAGAAGATCCAGACTGTTCCCATGGCAATTCGAGTCAAACCCAGGGGGCAGTAGCTCATTGCTGCCCGGTCCGTTAGACATAAATGTGATTTTACATAATTTCCTTTGACTACATCTGTTACCAAAATTCACACCCACCTCCAGAGTGTACATGGCTATTTTTTTAAAGTGAAAATTGTGGGAAAGTGCCTCCTTTATCAAAATATCAAAATTGCCCCTCTCTCTCTCTCTCTCTCTCTCTCTCTCTCTCTCTCTTTCTGCTTCGAAGCCATCAAATTGATGCAGCTCAAGGCTAAATATAGGGATGACTAACAATGATTTCCACAAGAGCCTTAGAAATTGCTCGTAAGCGAGCAAACGGAAAATAGATGATCCGGCAACGACATCATCCAGCGTTGGAGACCACGGCCTAAATCCAGCCGCGGAACAGAAATGAAGAGGAATGGTCTTTCCCTGAGCTGAGCCGTCAGAAGCCTGGCGTGAGCAGCAGGGCCCGGAAGCTGGGCGGGTGGGATCCTGCTTCCTGTTTCCAGGGGTGGGGAGGCATGAGGAGAAGCCATTCCACACGGGTCTTCTAGAAACTCTACTGCCAGTTTTCTAGAAACCAGAGGGTTTATGAGCCATGGCTCCATCTAACATAGAAAATGAGACTGTCCATATTCTGCACCTCCTGGGAGGCCTGGAATATTAGAAATAGCAGGTCAGAGAGGGCACAGGTGGCTGTATGGGGCCTGCCCCGAATCATCAGCACACCTGTAATCCCAGAGGTTCAGGAGGCTGAGGCAGGAGGATTGTGAGTTCAAAGCCAGCCTCAGCAACTTAGTGAGGCCACAAGCAACTTAGAGAGACCCTGTCTCTAAATTATAAAAAAGAAACCTTCTCTGTTAACAGCAGAGATGCCCTTAATAGACCCCCAGCCCCCGGCCCTTGGCAATCTGTAGGGTCCCAGGTGCTCCCACCAGCAGGCTGCTCCAGACCCGCTGACAGTGGACTCCTGCCCTCTCCCCTGGGCCCCTGCAAGCCCTGCTGCCCACAGAAAAAGGTGCCCAGTGGCCCGTGTCTGGGTCCAGAGTTCCTGCAGGATGGCAAACCACGGCTGTGGTCCACTTCTTTCTTTTTCTCGTGATTCATAAGCTTTTATGTTTTTAAATGACTTTGAAAAATTAAAGGGGGACTGGCTGGTGGCAATGACCCAGGATCCCAGTGTCCCTGTCCAGAGGAAAGTCGTACGAGAACGGAGCCCTGTTCATCCACGCCCCCAGTGTCCATGCCCGCCCTTGCCCCACACGGGTAGAGGCCAGCAGCATGACCGAGACCGTGCCACCTGCTGTCTTGTCCCCCCTGTTGCTCTGAGACGACACCCAGTGCTTGGCCTGTGTCAAGGAGAGGCCTGCTTGGCTCTCAGCTTTGGAGTCTGAGGACCCATGGTCGTGGGCCCATCCGTGTGGCCTCCACGAGGGCCTCCGGCTGCGCCCACGTGGAGGACGGCATCATGGCAGGAGCGTGTGAGAGAGAGCCACACTGCAGGAGGGACTGGGGAGGGGCCCGCCTGGCTCTCTGAAGTCAGCCCACTCTCTGGAACTAGTCCATCCCGTGAGAATCGTGCTGACCCCCTCAAAGGGTGGTCCCCCCATGACTTTGTCACTCTTCACAAATCCTCCTCTTCAAGGTCGGCCTCTCAGTGACTTTACCCTAGGGACCCAGCTTCCAGCACGTGAGTTTGGGGACCCTGGAACCACACAGCACCCTCACGCACAGGCTTTGTGGCCCTTTTCACGCACCATGCCTGGTACACGGGGACCCCCCTCTCCCTCGGCTGTTTCCATCTTCAGAGAGCGGCTTCTCGAACCCTTCAGGGTGGCCAAGAGCCAAAGTCTGCAAGGAGACGAGGTGGCGCTGCCACAGCCCCGCCAGGCCCCTCCGTGGGGCAAGCAAGACGGGAAGAGGAGGAGGCCGACTGGGTGGGGGGCCTCAGAGCCGGCCTTCTGGTCACCTGTTCCAACGCAGAAGCCAAAGGCTCAAGAATTCGGCCTTCAAACTGGGCCTCCTGGGTGTGAAGGAGGGGAAGGCCGGCTCTGTATTTGCATGTGAGAGCTGGAGTTTTGACTTTTCAATGTTCTGGGCATGGCACCAAGGCCACCATCCGTGCTCACGGCCTGGGGTTCCTGGTCATGCATGAGTGGAGGAGTCTGAGCTCTCCCGCCAGCCAGGCTGCTCCTCACCAGGGTAACCGGCATTTTCCCAAATAAACCCACTCTGGCCCACGCCTGTAATCCCAGCAGCTCAGGAGGCTGAGGCAGGAGGATTGGGAGGTCAAAGCCAGCCGTAGTAAATTAGCGAGGCCCTAAGCAACTCCATGAGACTCAGTCTCTAAATAAAAAAAGGGCTGGGGATGTGGCTCAGTGGTTAAGCACCTCTGAGTTCAATCCCCAGTACCAAAAAAAAAAAAAAAAAAAAAAAAAAAAAACAGGAAAAACCCACTCTGCTATCACATTTACATATTTTCATTCATTACTTGCAAATTAATGAAAAATGAGTATGAAAAGAAAGAACGCTGTTGTAGAAAAGCCCCAAGAAAGACATGTCCCTAAAAATCGATGGTACTGACGTAGGCGTTGGCAAGACAAGCGTACAGGACTGAGAGAAAATTTGAATATGTAGAGGATGGCGTGCTTCAAGTGTGTTCATAAACCTTTGCTCCATTTTTAGAATGAAAAACCTAGAGTACAGCCTATTTATCCTAAGGAAGAGGATATGAAGTTCTAGCCCAAAGAACAAGATTCCAGGCCTTGATTTCACCTCAAAGGACAGGCAAGTCAATAAGCATTGATGTGTTTTACATAATAAACAGTTTAATAGTCATTATTGTTGTTTGCGATTCTCCACTTAACACTGTTGATTAATATTCAGTCAACAATCCCACATCAATAATTTCATGTAAAATGCTACCTCGTGCCTTCATTTTAGATACCATGCAGCAGTGTAAGGAATATTGTGCTAAAAAGTACTAATGCTTTATAGGCTTTACTTCACTTAATTCTCACAAAAGCATAGTGTGATAGATGCTCTCAGGTGATAGATAATGTCACTGAAACTCAGAGAGGGTAAGCCACTTGCCTCGAGAAACACAGCTAAGAAGGGAGCAGAGACTCAAATACAAGTCTGCCTGACTCTGAACTTCTGAGCTTAACCCTGTGCCATCTTCCACTTGGTAGTTTTCCCCCAACTATGTGCAGAATAAGTAAACAAATAAATGTTAACCCATGAGCAGCAAATCCTACTGAGTACTGGGCAGTCGACAGGCTGGGTGCAGTGCAGCCAGCCAGCCACAGGGAGCCTAAACCTTCAAGTCTTGGAACATCAATTTTATTTCACAGCAAACAATAGAAAACTTTGAAAATATTTGCGAACTTGTCCATATCATGGAATGAGATGCAAAACACGGTGTGAGTTCTATATATAAAACCCAAAACTTCAAAGAGCTCGGAGGTTCGGGGCTGCGTTGCCCTGCAGGTCCGTATCCTGTGGAGTTCACGGCTGGGCTGGGCTCTTTGGTGGGAATTTGGGGAAGCACAGTCCTGCAGAGGATGACAGAGAATTGCTCCAGGTCAGGGGACAAGGCGGGTCCCAGCTGTCTCTTGCAGTGTCGGGTTATATTCTGACATGAGCCAGTGTTTGCAGGAAAGCCCTGGAAAGTGCTGTTGCCCAACCCCAGCACCCGCTCCTCTGCAATGCAGGAGAGAGACCCCGAGGGGGAGGGTTCTGATGTGCAGGAGGTTAAGGGCCCCGCACGGCCAGGGCCCAGGGGAGCTGCAAGGAGGAGGCAGATGTGGTGTGAGCCCTCTGTGGAGGCTGCATCATGAGCAGCTGAGCAGGAAGCAAAGTGTTCTCCTGGCAAAGACTCAGCAACGCCTCCCACTTGCAGAAGAGGAGTTAGGGGAAGCCTGCATTGGATGTGTGCAGGCCTGAACTCGCGCTCCTAGGAGCCTTTCCAGCACATTCTATGACCTTCCCCATGTCACTGGTCCCCCCCCTCCTTCTCTCTCTCTCTGACAATAACCGTGGAGTCCTGCCCTCCAGTGCGTTGATCAAAGGGGAATTTGATGAATGCAATTTGAGCTGCTTCTGGAGTGGAGGCCAGGAAGCCTAAGAGCTTGTATTTCCATGCAGCGGGGAGCACGGGCGGGGCTACTTAGTGCCCAGGGCAGCATAAAATTCAGATGAAGGACCTGGGGCTCTGAGAAGTCGGGTGTCCTGCTCAAGGTCACAAGCCATCCATTAGCTGGGTGACCCTGGACAAGGTCCTGAGTGTCTCCGGGATTTGGGTTCCTGGACTACACAATGGGATTAACAGGGTTGCCGTGGCGACTCAGATCTCTGAGTTGGTGATGAGATGATATGAAGGGGGTCAAGTGCTCGCTGGGTGAAAGGCGAAGGCGCCGCTTGGTGACCCTGTTGTATTACTGAGACTTAAGGTTCCAGGCTGGCGTAGAAGGCTGAGGCAGGAGGATGGCAAATTCCAGGCCAGCCTCAGCAGCTGAGCAAGATGCTGTCTCAAAATAAAAAGGACTGGGGATGTGGCTCAGTGGTGCAATCCCCTGGGTCAGTCCCCAAAACCGCACACACAAAACAACAACAACAAACTTCCATTGAAGACAGATGATTTGGAACTTGTATCTGACCATGCGATTAGAGTTACTGACAAAAAAAGTAGCAATAATAATCCTACCAAGGACTTCTTTTTTTATTTTTGGGGGGGTGTACCAGGGATTGAACTGAGGGGCACTCGGCCACTGAGCCCCGTCCCCAGCCCTGTTTTGTATTTTATTTAGAGACAGGGTCTCACTGAGTTGCTGAGTGCCTCACTCTTACTGAGGCTGGCTTTGAACTCGAGATCCTCCTGCCTCAGCCTCCTGAGCTGCTGGGATGACAGGCCTGCGCCACCACGCCTGGCCCAGGACTTCTTTTGTGCTCTGTGACTGTGCACTAACTGACTTGTCCTTCTTGGGAATCCCTGAATGAGTGCCCCGGAGCTCATGAGTTGGAAACTTCATCCCCAGTACAACAATCCTGGGAGCTGATTAGGCTACCAGGGCTGGGCCCTCCTGGGTGGCCTGATACTTACAGATAAGTAAGATAAGTGAGCTCAGCCCCTCTCGCCTTCTTTCCTTCTCACGCTAGTGCTCATTTGCCCTTCTGCCATGATCTGACGCCACATGAGCGTCCTCCCCAGATGCCAGCATCCTGCTCCAGTCTCCCCAGCCTGCAGGACCATGAGCCCAATCACCCTCTGACCTCTGTGAAGTCCCCTGCCGTGTGTTTTGTTTTGGCAGCGGAAAGCGCACTAAGAAGCTCCGTCCCGTGGATGAAGAGGCTGAGCCTCAGAGAGAGGAACTAACTTTCTCGAGGCTGCTCAGCTTGAAGGTGTGGGCTCGGGTGTTGACCTCGTGTGTCTAGACCACAGGCAGGAGCCAGGCAGGGCCTGGGCCGTCACCAGGGACCAGAGTCATGTCGGGTACAGGGACTCGTGGGTGTGCTGGGAGCAGAAGGCTCCTCCTGGCCAGCCTCGCTTCCCCTGCTCGCCCCATTAGGAGCTTCCTGTGAAATCTCACACCTCGCCAAGGTGTGGAGCCAGCCAGCTCTGAAGCAGAGAGTCGCTGAGTAGCACCCGCCCGACTCAGAGCTGCCACAAGGCAGTGACACTTCCGTGGGGTGTTTTTGAACAGAGGTGTGAGGAGGACCCAGCGCCGTGCCTGCCAGGAGACGGGTTCTGCAGAGCGGGGGTCCGGTCCCCGTTGGCAAGGGCCCTTGTCATCTCTCCCGAGTCTCTGCTTGGCCCTAGGTCACGCCTCACCCAGCCCTCGGCTCACGGCTCCCTGCCAGGTCCATCGGTGGCCTCCTGCCGTGTGGACGACACAGTGCCCTGCGACCTGGCCACTGCCCTCTTCCCGTCCTCTCCCCACACCACTGTCCCCGGCCACACGGGCTCCCGAGCTTCTCTGGAAAGACCCAAGCTGCTCCTGTTGCGCCTGTGGCCAGATCCGGGGGTGGCCTGAAGGTGGGGGAAGCCCAGGTGAACCCTCCCAGGCGAACACTCCAGGGAAGCCCAACCGGATCAGGCTGCCCCTCTGGGACGTCACCCTGGCCAGTGACAAGAGTGGCCAGTGTCCTTGTGGCCTGGGTGCTGTGCATCTGAAAGTAGCCATGCGCCAGCTCTGTTTTTCCAGAACTCTCTCTTTCATGAAAAGGAATTCCCCTTGAAGGGAAAGTCCTTTTGACTTACTTTAGAAAGGACAGTAGGTGGTCCTGTTGGTGACAGTAGATGACGGGGAGTTTTCTCCCCTCTTTAACATCCACAGTGGAATCTGGCAGCCCCCTGTGGGTTCTCCAGTTGGGGTGTGGATCCGTGAAGGTTGAGGTCCCTGCAATCTAAAGCTCTGGGGGACCACTGATCTAGACTCCAGAACCTTCCCCTGGTGTCACTTCCCTTGATTGTCGTCTTTCAGGTAGGGTCACTGGTTCTCTTGAGCTAGCTAGGATCTGCCACCTGGGGTAAAGCAGGGACCTACTTTACCTTCCTGCCACCACGGGGCCCATCCAGGCAGCCGCTGGGCAGAGACTCACAACGAGACACAGCTGCCACTTTTAAGTAAAGCATGAGGCTAGGAGAAGCCCTGGATTCTCGTGCTGCTTCCGGCCAGATCTTTTTAAACTTCACTTATGAATCGTGTGTTGCTACATACTGACAACAAACAAGTGGAAACCGAAATTTAAAAGGGACAACACTGTCTGTAGCTCAGTGGCAGAGCACTTGCCCAGCACATGGGAGGCCCTGGGTTTGTTCCTGAGCATCAACACATAAAAATAAATAGTTACAAGTAGTCGGTCCATCTACAAAAAAAAAAAAAAAAGATTAACAACTACAACACAATTTATAATTACTCCAGGAAAAATGAAACACTTATAAACCAAATAAAGTGTGTATCGATTCCTTATGAAATAAGGCACAGGAGCCTGAACACCTAGGCAGAGGCATTGTAGACATTCCATCTACAGGTTGGATGTTGTTTTTATCAAAATTTTAGCCGTTTTTGTTTTTTGTTTTTTTTTTTTACTTACACAAGCTTGTTCTAAAATGTCTATGGAAAGGCCTTAAAATAGCCAGAGAAGATATTGATAAAAAAGAATCGGTTAGGAGGAACCGTTGCACCTGTTACTAAGGCCTTCTGCCTGCTACAGCACCGGGGCAGCGTGGCACTGGCAGAGGGACAGACGGATCCGCAAAACCGAAAGAGCAGCCAGGCTGGGGAGGTGGCTCCGCAGCAGAGCGCTGGCCTGGCACACGTGAGGCCTGGGCTCAATCCCCACCATTGCAATTAAAAAAAAAAAAAAATCAGAAGAGCAAACCTGAGCCCGTGGTACTGGAACAATGTGACATCTGTGGACAGAAAAATGAAACCGACGTAAACCTAAACTGTTAGACATTTTTGTAACTCAAATGAACTTGGACTTAAAGGTAAAGTGCAAAAGCATGTCACTCTTAGGAAAGAACAAAGAGAAAACCTTGAAGGTCTAAGGGAGAAAATTAGCACCAAAAGTGTGACCCATTAAAGGAAAAATGGATTAAACTGGACCTAAAATCAAAAGCTTCTGTCCTGCGAAAGCTCATTGGAGAAAATAAAAAGACAAACTGCCGATTGGGAAAAAAATATCTTCAAATCAGCTATGAGATAAAAGGCGTACCTCGAATACATCACAGCTCTCCAAACTCAGCAATTCAGTCAGAAAATGAACCAAAAGTACACGCATTTCACTCAAGAGGATGTTCAGATGATGGTGAATATGCCAGTGAAAAGATGTTC